ATAAGCACACCCAAGTTTCCTGCACTTGTGGTTGTTTTCTAGTAGATAATATAAAATATCGAATTAAGCTATATCAAAACTTAGTTTCCTATCAAAAATCTATCAAACATTAATTTTAATTACCGTTACTGTAACATTATTTGACGCCTTATCACTGGCACGCTTGCCTTCTAATCCGAGCTGAACAAACAATTCAAGTAAATGAAGCAGCAAGTCGTTCAACTCTGTTTCACCATGCAGATTTGCTGCTATATTTGCAAGAGCATTTGTGACTGCTTTAGCTACGTGACAATACTGTTTACGGTCATCGTTCGAAGCATAAGTTGCAGTACTGGAGCCCAGTGACATAGAGAACATTTGCATTATGCCTTCGTAAATCTAAAACCAAAATGCATTCACGTGTACTTTATTATGCTCTAATTCGTGGATGTAACCATTTTACGTAGTAATTACTAAATAATATTAAACTCAACCTTTGATTCGCATTTCGCAATAATCATACATCCTAATTGGTCAACAATCAAAAAATCAAGATCACTTGGTGTCCGGCAAAATAATTGTTGAAAAAATGGGAATATTGTACGCATAGTCTTTGGAGTATCTTTCAACGCAACTGCTACGTGTCCCAACATGATTACTATGTTTTTTGAAATTAATTCACTATTCGTCCTGTCATCAGATTCACTAAAGGTATTAAAACAAATGATTCAGATATCGTACAAATCAAGGTACAAATTGGACGAATTAATTAAGGTTGCTAAATTGAATAATATGTACCCGTCGCATATGTCGGCAGCAAATAACCTATTCGAGACGCTGGCAACTAATGCTGGCACACAATCTGGATTTACAGAATGTGCAGCTTCTAGAGCGATGCACAGATTGCCAATAGCTGCATCTCTTAGTTTTTCAAATGCTGTTTGTATCGATGAAGTAGTTTGTTTCGAATCGTGTATATCTTTTCCTTTAAAGTAACAATTTGTATAATACAATGCATTAACTTTGCTGGGTAACTTTATGCTACCTTTTTCACTTTGCTGGCGGTGTAGCTTGAGAAGTATAGGCGATGGGACAACGAGAAAATCTCGAAGATAATATATAGATGTACTAGCTATGTTAGGAAATTTTTGTGCTAACTTTCCTAACCCTTCAAGGCATACCATTAATAGAGGCATATGAGCCAGCACCAATTTTGGTCCATGATTAGAGTTAATTTTCTCAACTAAACGACCGCATAAACCATCTGCACCTGTAAACAATTATACTTTCATGTGTTATGTTCAGAAATATAAATATGTATTCATTCATGGATCGGATATCTGTTGTTAATTCTAAGAGATCCTTCCAGAGAATGAAGAACTCTGTATGAAAATGAAACTCTCAGTGACAATGCTTTAAAGTGGCAGTGCACAGAAGTATGTGTATGTATCGTGAAAATAGCTTTGCCTATGCATATTCATTGTTCGTTTTCGCATTAATAGTTGAACAAACAGTTAGAATGGTAGGTAAGAGAATTACTTTTAGTGGAATAGAATACAATTAAACCAACAAAGCTAACAGGAGAACCGCGTTAACGCAGTGTCAGGCTGTAGAAGGTGTATTCGTTAGTTAAAACTATTGAAAGTTATCATAGATGTAGGATAATCAATCGGTATGCAATATAAGCTAAATTCGAATACCCTCGCCAATCAGCATCGAACTGATATCTGCGAATAGCGCGGACAAATCATACTGGTCTCTCACTGGAAAAATAACGTAATGATCTATAGATAATCCTACCGGTACAGAAGACTGATTTAAGTAATAATATTAATTAAATCACAATAAAATTATTAAAAACAAATCGATGTGGGTTTTTGAGATTATTCACAAACGCCGATTTATGATTTTGCTTACCAGTTTCATCACCAATTGCCCAGACAAGGAGATCAACGCACGCAGAATTAGCCATAACGTTTACTTTAAATCTATTTACAGTTCGAAAATTAGTATCCATATCTTCGCGTTCGCTCGCATCATGTTGACGCGACTGCAGTTCTGTTTGGCCAGATAAAAAGAGACCTTTCACGAACTCCTGTACGTCTCTTGTGAAAGGGGTAGGCAAATCCCGTTGATTTTGTAATAATTCTCGTAAAAGAGCGACCATTACTAAATTCATTGTCTCGTTAAATGTTCGGTAAGGAAATATCTGCACCTGTCCCGAATTATAAACCTGGACAAAACATAAATGTTTAAATAAATTTAATGACATAGTGTAACATTTTATTATAAAATAATACAACTAACTTGTTGAGCTTCTTCGTCAAGAAACGTTAAAATCTCTTTAGTGAGCAATTTCTTTGCCAAAGCCAATACACTTTGCAAATGCACCACATTAAATTGCATGCCAGCTCTTCTTTCCGGACTTTCATTGCATCTCATTTGAGGGAATTGATTAAAGCTTGATCCGTATCTACTAAAAAAATACGTGGCCGGATCATAGGGCACCGAAGAATAAGACTGCAACGATGGTCGTTTCGTACTGGGATACTCGTGTTCTACTGTTAATAGATTTGGTGCAGTATCTATGGCCTGATGAGGATTTAAGTTGCCACTTAACGATCGAGGAATAATTGGTCGGAAGTTCGAGAAACTATGATGCTTCTTATCCAATGTTAAGCGCATTTCTGTGTTTGGTATTGAAAGAGGAGGTTCTGGTCTTGGATAAATGCGACATAAAAGCGGCGGATCAGTATATGCAAAGCGGCCCATTGATCGAGCTAAACCAATTAAAACTGGAACTAAGCATTTGCATAATGACACTGAAAAAAGAAGCAAATGTAATTAAATATAACTAAATAAAATATAATTAATAATAGAAAAAATGCCTACATTTTGCTTGCATTCCTCTGCTACCATTTTGATCCCTGTATCCTCTTATAAGATTTGTTAAAACTGCCAGTATTTCTACTTGGGTAGAAATGATTTCTTCACGCACAAATTCACATCTGGCTGCAACATCACTGAGCAGTGTGTTTAAGCAGAAACTAAAGCGTTCAGCAACAGGAATGCGTTCAGTAGGTGAACATCTGACCTCATCCAACCACACAGCTTTTGGAAGACCACGCAGTAACCGTAGAAAATAGGGTAATATTCGATCCCGATGTTGCATACCAGATTCCAAAAAGTATATTCCCAGTGCAATGGTTGCATCTTGACCTCTTTGATCCAGCCGGTATATACCTTGGGTAGATTCTTGTGGGCATAACTTGAACAACTGTGTGACCTATATTAATCAAAAAATTATCTGAGAAATGTTATAAAAAGCAATTCTTAATGATATTGTCGTAACTATAAACATCAAATATGATATGATTCAACATCAAATTCCACACATGTGAACCTTATAAAAATTTTATTTTTTCTATTAACATTTATTACACTTAATAACATTGATTAATTGCTGTCACATTCTTGAATTAATCTTAATTTAATAATGTTACTATATGTATTGCCTTTAATAATCTGAGAAAGGTATATTAAATATCCACATAGTATAAATTATCAGAAGAATTATTACTTTATTGAAAACCAAATGCACATGAAAATCAGTTACAAACGAATTTAATAAAAACAAAAAATTATTTAATTCAAAGCAAAAGCTTTTATAAAAAATTTTTATATATTTGAATGATTAGTACAATTGTAAATGCCATGTTTCTTAATTCACATGGTGTGTGATGTATTACAAATTATTAACTAAAACAAAATTTTGTAAATTAATAATCACAAAAGGAAAAAATTAGAAAATTTATTAATGTATAAAAGTACATATATTTTACATTTCTTTTATTCGCAAACTCGTGCCTGTAAAAACGATCCTATAAACAGATAATTATGTCTGAGGTATATGTCAAAGTTCATTTGTTTAGAAGCGTTGTGAGGTGAATTGTTGATTGCAAACGTATCATTAATACATGAGTTGACTACTGGATTGTCCTTCGAATTATATCACTAGATGACATATCAGGATATCAGCTGACAGCTCCTTAAAACTAACCTAATCCTGATTAGATAAATGTCAGTTTTTATGGATACGTATATAGCATGCTAATTTACGCAATCGATAAATTAACGTACCTTTTCCCATGGTGTAGGTTTAATCGCAGCTAGACATCTGGCTAAATGTTGGACGGCTTTCGAGAAAAATAATTTCTCGTCTGCCACCATTTTGCCCACTATCAACTCGCTGTATGATTCTTGTAAATATCGTCTGCTTGTCGTACTGACAGACCGCCTTTCGTTTTCGACCTATCGATTCCTCGAACTCGATGTTTAAATTTCCGCAGTTGATCGTTAGTCGTTAGTGTTCTGTCACCTTTTTCAAATTTATATGCGAATGTCAAGTTTTAGTGATTAAAATCTTATTTCTTTCATATAATCGCGTAGGAAATAATCAAATGAATGGAAATGTGATTTATCGATATGCACTCACCTTATTGAAAAATCGATGTTTTAAAAATTGATATATCGATTTCGTTTTTCGAAGACAGTTTGAATTTTGCATCATTAACATTATGGACGTCCGTGTGATCGATGTAAGTGAAATAATTTTGAATTTTCGTGCCAACAAGCTGTCTTCTATGTAAAATGAAGCAAAATGAAACTGTTCGACGAAGAAAATTAACGAGTGAACGCGTTAAAGTTTTATTTTAACTATGGAATTTAATACGGTTAAGGCTGTGGTCATAGTGAATGCGTATTCAGACGAACTAGCATTCTGACGAACTCAATACGTCAAAATAATCAAATATGTATACAGATTCTTATGAATGTATGCACTGCAGTCTTCAGATGTTTCATTCTTCTGAATACGCATCCACTATAAGCACAGCTTAAAACATCAATTTTATGTGTAGAAAAATATATGTATTTAATTAAGGACATTGTAAGATACATATGTACATATCTTTGTCTTTGTGCAATTCAGTCTTCACATAATTCAGACCTATTCAAAAATTTTATGTACTCATATTTGCATGACAGCTTTTAGTCCATGATAAGTAATACTCTAATTTTTTACAATATAAAAGAAAAACTTTTTTCGATAAATTAATATTTTCCATATTATATCTTTGGGTAAACTTCTTGGAAAATTCTTTATTCCTAATTTTGTTTCTATTTTTTGACAATTCCTCTTTTGCTGCTATTAGTAGTCTATGCAGCTCAGAAAAAGCAACAGCAATATAAAGATACTTATTTTTCTTTTCTGGTCCCTGCATTATCATATTTCCAGCTTCTTTGAAGCCTAATAGAGTTTGTTCATCTTGTGGTAACCAGTTACACTGAAAACAATGAAAACATGTTTAATTTCTTGAATATCTTTATTTCTAAAAACATACTGGTTATTATACTACTTACACTAATAATCTTATGGACAACGGAAGTTATCGCCGATTCGGGATTTTCGAAAACTTTATTTAATTTCATGTTATCACATAAATCAAGAAAGACAACCATAGCTTCCACTGGACAGTTTAAATAGTCACCATTGTAATAGTTTGCAATATATGCATATGCATAGATTACATTTATTACATTAAACTGGACATTTGGAGAAGCTTTCTGTAAAAAATAAAACATTTGAACTTCTGTTATAATAAAATTATGATATTTAGAATATTGAATAAATTCACTTGTTCTATAATTTACCTGCAATTCATTAAATATAGGAACATCTATTAAGGGAGGAAGTTCCTTTGTTTCTTCATCATTTTTTTGATCCATTTCTTGAACAAGTTTCTTTTTAGTATGATATGTCCACCATGGAACCCACTGAGGTAGCAATTTCTCTATATCACCATTTTTTATCAGTGCTTCAAATTCCTGCTTTTCAGCATCTGTTAATGCAGACCATACCTCATCTGCATTATCTAAGTTTATATCATGCAATCTTTTTTCTAAATCTGGTACCTGCAGAGGACATTCAATTAAATGAAAATAAGAAAATATTATGTTTTACTGATAAGAACATAAATATTGCTCACATCTTCATCATCATCTGAATCTAACTGTTCATCTAATATTTCTTCTTCTTCATCTTCTTCATCTTCTTCATCACTTTCCAATGCTTGCATATTTATTAGATCTTGCTCATGTACTCTTTTAAGAATTTCAATCATTTTCTGCCTACCTTCTAGGCCTCTTTCCTGAAGTTTTAATTCATCTTCCACACATTGCTTGTAAAAACTTTCTGAACACTCTAAGTGAGCCTCTGACTTATAGCAATCAACATTGCAATATCCTACATCACATCGTGGACAGGTGTATTGACGAGGTCGCATGTTGCACCTAAAGACAATAAAATGTTAGAAACAAGGTGTTTTTAATTCTCATTAGTTACGGTTATTTTACATTAATAACAAACACGAATAAATATATGTTGTGTAATGTGTATCAAAATGACGAAATTTTAAAAATATAAAAGATCGGGATTAAAAAGGAAATGATTCATAAAAATAATTTAAAAGACAGACGAAAATTACATCTACTATTTTTAGGTTAGGTTTTGTTTGTAAGCAGAGTTTGAGGTTAATGATGTGACACATACAATTTGCAAATATTATCTGCATTTGCGAAGCTTATTTTTTGGATATCCATGATTTTATTGTAAATTTATTTACAATATTAATCTCTTAATATTTTAATATTTTTATAAACTCTTTGATTAGATCAATTTTAAGTACACAAGATTTTTTTACGTTCCGGCAATCATTTTCAAACGTAACTCATACGTAACAAAGTATAGTAATGATAATCATTTTTAGTTATAATAGGGAGTAAATATTGAAGAAGGAAATAATATATTTTTAAATTGTAAAATTTTTATACAAAACCATTTTTTTGAATATGTACATATTACAAATTAATTTTAAAGTGAGGAAACAATCAAACATAACCTAGGTTACTTCAACTAAAGTACCATCTTTTTGTCTTTTATATTTGAACTCTTTTCCTTTACGTCTCTCTATCCAGGCTTTAGTTTCTTCTTTTGATAATATCACTTCAGGATCAACAGTAACTTCTCTGCATTTCAATAAATTAGCTTCATCATCCATAGTTGCTTCAATTTTTCTTTTTCTAGGTTTTGGAATTTCATCAACTTCTTCTTTAGCTGTTAAAAATTCTGCTGAAGATTTAAGTAATTTTATACCATAATTAGAGTCTTCACTCTCCTTTTCATTTATGAAATTGTTTGTTTCCTTGTTCTTAAATTTAATAGATCTGATGACAAAATTCTCTGTTAGTACATGGAATGTTCAAAAAGTTAATTATTTTTAAATGTTTTATCAAAAAGCTAATATTTCCTGTAATTTACGTACTTTTCTATTATTACATCCAGCTTTTTTGCAACATAATGCTGAAATGTTGGTTCTACACCAAAAATTGTAAATTGTTTCGTTTGTTCTAAATTTGGTCTTAATGATACCGGGTTTGTTAAATCTTTATTTTTGATTGAATTATCTAAAAAAATACATGCGCAGTTAATTGTCAACAATGTTTTGTGATAAAACATGAAGAATAGAAAACAGAAATAAAAGTGAGGTTATGATACTTACTTTGTTGATCTGTTTTGTCAGAAACGTCTGATACTTTTGATTTTGAGTTTAAAAAATAGCTGTTTTTCAGAAACTGATGATCTGTCGCCTCTTTTAATGCATTTTTCGTTATTTCATCTTCGGAACTACTTGAATCTTCATTGCTTTTGTCTACCATCGTTATCTCGAATAATTCGATATCAGTCGATAATCGAGTTCAAGTTTCTACGATATATTTTAAATTTCTTTCGATATTTCTATTCACAAGATTAGCCACTACTTTATAAAAAAGAAAGAATGTGAAACCAACTATAAGTTTAATTAACTCATTGCCGAAATTTGTTTATTAGTTAGTAGTTATAAATTTTTGTACAGAATGTGAGTACTTGAAATGCGTGTAAAGATGTTCGTATATTGTACAATTATTCCGTAGAAATAATACCCTTCGTTAGCAATTAAAAACATAAGTCTTAAATATTTAGGTTACTTTATATAATCTCTTTAATTTTTAATTTAAAAGCAAGAATAACCTCTCTCTCTCTCTCTCTCTCCATTGAAAATGGCTAGAATTAAAAGAAATAGGTGATAAATTTTCATCGAAATGAACAAAAAATAATAAAGATCGTAACAAAAAATGTGATAAAAGTAATTGAACAATGTGCAATTGATCGATCATAAAAATAACATTATACATCCCGTACCACGATGTGAAACTTTATTCATAAATTCATTTTGATTGAATTTTATGCATCGCTATAATGCGTGTTCAAAGTCACACATACAAAACCGATGACTTGAAATAATCGTTTGTGAAATCGAGATGAGGAAGTTGTGGAAAGGAAGTGCAAAACGATAAAAACGAAAATGACGGTGAACCATGGCAATAACGATGACAACGATGACAATAACAATGACGAAGAATAAAATGAATGCTTGGAGTACTTGGAAGTGTATCTTAAACATAAACAATGATATATTTTAAAATATTATAATTATTCTCTGTTCGAGAAGAAAACACTTCGACTAAATTATGTCAACGTGTTAACGATAGATTAACAAGAATTACAGGCGCAAATTATCTTCAATCGTTTCTGACCTATTCGATGCTGGCTCGAAAGGAACAATTCGTAGAGACGTGTGGTCTAGAAACTAAATGGACGGGCGAAGTCGAATATTGCCAACGATGTTTTTATGTACACGATTAATGATCGTTTGTGTGTTATTTTTTTTTTCTTCATTTTTTTTCTCTCGTCCCCTAATAATTCAAATCTTAATCTAAATACATTTAATAATATATTCTCACTTTGCATATCATCATCTCTTATACTTTTTTTTATTTTAGTGCGCTTCTGAGAGGTTCTTTTTTTTCATGTACACTGGTTTTTATCTTTTTTTCTGTGTGTATGTATGTATATATGTATGTACGTGTTTCTTTTCTCGCGTATGCTTCGTTTAATTGAATTTTTATAACCACTTTTTGCTGCTTGCATTTGTTTTTTCTTTTTTTGTTCTCTTTAAATAACAACGTTAAATGTATAAAATATACAGGGAGCAATTTTCGCGGGTACATTTTATACAGATACACGATCTCGAACATAAAGGTACATGTGTATATATGTGTTGTTATTTGCGTAATCATGTTTATCTCACTTTCTCTCTCTCTCTCTCTCTCTCTCTCTCTCTCGCTACTAATTGTTACCGTTGATGTGTGCATTGGCTTTTTTGGCTGGTTTGTCAATTTGTTTCTCGTTCTATATATTGTTTTTTGTATTTTTGTATGTATATGACATTGTATGTATACTTATTATACTTATATATCCTTCCTCGTCGTCGTACCTCAATGTACAGTAACGTTTTATATTTTATTTTTTATAATTTTTTTTTGTTTGCTAAGGCATTCGTTATGGCAAGTATATTTTAAAAGTGCTGATGTCTAAACGCGCGTGAATACTTAGATTTTTCTTTTTTTCCATTTTCGTACAGTTTATAAAAGTATATTGGCCAGTTAACTTCTAATTAGCCAGCTACGTGTCACTTAAAAAACGATTCGCTCGTTAGAAAAAGAACTAATCTGCTTCGTATTTCTTTACATCTTTTTTTTTTTTGTAATTTTTGCCTCTTTGGTTGTTGTTCTTGTTTTTTTTTTTTTTCTCTTAGTTCAACTCACTTCGCGTTTAAATTCAATTGCGCCTTATAATCCGTGGCCACTAAATTGTTTTTACTCTCTATTTTGCATGCATCTTTACTTTTTATGCTCATTAGTCGATTATCTGCTGTAATATTTTTTTTTTCCTTTATTTATTTATCCTTTAATAAAATATACTTAATCGCAGGCTAGAGAACCGGAAACAAGAAGAAGTATACGTATATGTCTCAAGAAGTGGTTAATGTATTCCTTCGCTATAGAGTCTTTTCGTACGCGGTATGTTTTTTAAATATTTCTTTTTATTCATTCCCCTTCCGATCAACCGTTCTCCGCAATTATAATTGATGTGATCCCGACGAAAAAAACCGTCCGCCCGTTTTACACATTTTTTCTCTCTTCCTCGTCGTCACGTGAACCCCTGGATCAAACGAACATGAAGACTCTCGTTGGTGTAACTTGTGTGTACGTGTGCTATACCACGTTGCGGATGATGGAATTATCTCGACTAAATCCCTCGTCCGAAAAACCGACTCCTTCCAAATTCACACCTCACGTTTCTTCTTCTTCTTCTTCTTCTTCTTCTTCTTCTTCTTCTTCTCTTTTAATATATTTTTATTTTGCTCGAGCCACGAGCTGGCCTAAACGAAGTGCTGCAGCATCATATTATTGTACACACGCGCGCATATACACTTACATGTACGTGAAATACACGTGTACTTTGTGTTGTTCGTCGCAAAAACACAATAACACCACTCGGCCTCACTAATTACAAGGCCGAGGCTAAATCACTCTGCGAACAATGGTGTAGCGTTTATTTTAACAAATTCTCGTTAAAACAATACATTAAGAACTCTCTAGCCACTATTATCTTTCGATCGTCTCGCAACACGCTGAAACGTTAGGCTGACCCTACACGGTAAGAATCGAAACAGGCTATAGCGCTCCGTGAATACAATAGCGGACGCTTCGGCTAAGGAAGATCGTCTTGAACGCGTGTGCTTTTTCTTCTTCTTTCTTTTCACGAATGTGTCGTCGATCGGTTTTGTCGCGATATTAGAGAGGCTACAGAACGGAAGGTTGCAAAACCAAAGAAATCGATATTCCGCGACTAGAGAGTCGATGTTGTATATATAACAGGTGACTCTTTTACACGACTTACTCCGGTTAGATATCGGTCAGACATCGTATAGAACCGAAATATCGACGGTGGCTAGAATGACGTTACCAGTTCGAATTTCGCGTATTCGTTTCCTGGCGAATGATATCGATTTAGCTCGTGGTAAAACTACACCATTGGGCATTATCAGACGACGGATTTTACAATGGAACGAAGGTAATGTACATGTTTAACCCTTTTATCAATCGCAACATCGCTTCTCCTCTCAAAACACCATTTATAATCGTTCTACCTTCACGTGTGCTTCTCCAACGATCGAACTCTATATTCTTCGCGGAGCGATAGGAATACTCGATCGATTTTTAATCCTTTACGCACTCGATCGGCTGATACAATAGTAGAATATTTTCATTCGAGATATCGGTGACACTGTAACGGTGAATTTTCGTAGGATAAGTACTGCTACGTTTTCTTCCTTTAATCGTTGAAAAGTAAAAGTTGAGAAGAGGAAAGGAAAGAACGGGCCCGTCGAGTGCGAAAAGTTAAACACCGATACGGAACTCAATAATTGAACGATAGCTCGTGATTGCTTCACTTCATATTTTTTTTTTTTTCTTTTTATCTGGTTCCATATTATTCGCTTTTACAATTATTTTAGTGCGTCTCGAACAAGCACCTATATGAGCTCTTAATCTTTATATCCGCTACTACGCTTGCTTTTTTTTTTTTATGGGGCTGCACTCTCTCTCTCTCTCACTCTTTCTCGTTTTGCTCTCTTCGATTTTACAGCGAAACAATCGTCGAATGTGTCTTTCCTCGACCGATCCTCGAAACATTTGGTAACAAACTTAGCGAAGGATGTTTCTAATTAGAAAAAACGTCAAGAGATTCGTACCAGCGCTTGCGTGTAGCATACATACATAGATTCATACGATAAGCGCGATACGATAAAGATACACGCTTATGGTGTGAATTTTGTAGAAAACTCTTTTCGTAGAAAATTGACGCTAGGGTAATGTTACTTTTTTTCTCGCAGTCTCGCTCGCTCGCTCTCGTTCTTCCTGTCACACGTTCCACACTCATTCGTTCTCTTTCGCTCGTTATATATTTATATGTATGTATATTATATATTTTTTTTTTTTTTGTTTCTTTACAAGGCGCTACTACGCAGGTTTCTCGCGCGACGGGGATGACTTCTACACGGTGGCACACCGCTGGATTTTCATCTCTAATTTCTGTTCGATGACAAAAGTCGTACACTTCTTTTTTAGCGAATCTACGAATTAACCCTTTTGTAGTGTGCACGACAGATCCTCGCATAATTCGATGGAAAACAATTGTAACAATGCGGGAATAAATTTGAAATGTTCGCAGTCTGAAAAATATTCTATCGCAACGCTAACGAACGCATTTTATATATTTTCCTATAATTCACGTTTATTGTTAAGGTGTCCCGTGAGTCGCGCTACCGTTCAAAAATGTGATAATCTTTGTCCCAAAAGCTGAAGCGCAAATTTCGAAACGTGCAATAGAAATAAAGTTACACCATTTTTAAACGGTGAAGCGACTTATGGATCATCCTGTAGATCAACGTTACACGTGGATCCAGCATCTCTCACGCCTCAATTTCTATCGTGCACAATCGTAATTTACTATTATCGTAGATCAAATTTCACTTTTCAAATTCAAATCATTCAGACGACGAAAAGAGACGCATATTTTTCAAATCGTTTATTCCTGCGCCGTGAGAGGATTAATTTCTGAACAGGTCGAAAGATTGAGAAAACAGAGGAGCATGGTGTGAGGTTCAGGCTTTAAGTTATCAGAATCTAACGAGATCTGCTAGGCTTTTTGATCGACTTGTTGGTTGATCTGCGATGACGAACTTTAATATCCTCAATTTCGTTGTTTTAATCACGTGTGTGTGTGTGTGTGTATGTATGTGTGTCTACTACTTGAAACCAACACTACGTTTAGAAAAAAAAAAAAAAAAAAAGAACAAAACCAAATTGCATTATTAAACGAAATAACATTCTAATCAGATTCTACGAGACATAAGCGATTCTAAAAAGCCAGTCTTAACGTGTCACCCTGTAGAGATCACCGAGAAACGCTTGTCAGTGTACTGTCTAACGAAGCTTAGCATTCTACTTGGCATTGGACAGTCGCATGTTTCGTTATCGATCTTTTTTTTTTTTTTTTTGTTATTTATATAGTCGCGTTCGATCCTTGAAACCGGAAACGGAAGTGTATTTTAGTTAGGTGTGTGAATGTGTGTGTGTGTGTGTTTGTCTGTATCTACACTGTGTCACCGCTATAATTCAGCTCAACTACGTTCTCTCGACTCGACGGATCTCGGGAGGCTCGTTGAACTCTCGCAAAAGCCAAACAGTGTCGAAAACGAAATACTTTTCTTCGTCTTTTTTTCTTTTTTCAAGAACAATAGTAAGGTGAATTGCGAGATTCTGTAGAGGGTGGGGAGGTCTCCGGGGAGCCGTGGAATTTCGCCTGGTAATGGACGTTCGATTCGTGTAGCATGTCAAATTTTCAGATCAATTTATCTTTCTACGGTAAGATCTGTTCGTAAGATCGATGATGTTCGTTTGAAATTAAGCGAATGTGACAACGTGTGTATTTCATTGGGTTCTCGTGTTTGGTGGTTTATTCGAAAGAAAAGAAAATTGGATAGTGTTGGCTGTTAGTGTCGACTTGATCATCTAAAAGGTCTTGAAATACTGGAATCTTTTGAGAGTCTTGATAAAGTGGATAGGAAGGTGTATGCAGCGGTGTCGATGTACTTCTTATACCAGTAAAAAGTTGTGTAGTAATTGTCTTCACACGTTGATAGAACTTCTGTCCGAAGGACCTTAATACTTCAAGGCTTTGTAGATTGATAGATACTGGTGATAAAGTCATTTTCCATGTAAGAGCAATTGGAAGAAGTAAAATAGGGATTTCTTTATGTGATTTTCAAATTATCATAAGCACAAAACATTCTCTGTTTCTGTAATAAATTCCAAACTAATTATAGTGTCACCATTAAAAAAATCATAGAAATACTTTAGAGACAGAAATGAAAAAATTACAATTCACATCATTTCTGTTAAAGTAAAGAAAAATCGTTGATCAATAAAAAATCTCTATAATCCATTTACATTTAATCACCTTTTAAAGTGAATTTTTTGAACGACAAAACTTCACATAAAAAAATTCTACTTCACATGGCCCCCCCACTATCTGTACATTGAAAATCACGTTATCCATCTCAGTACAGTAATCGTACGCTCGGTAACAATTATAAATATGCATGAAAGAATTCCATAGCCCATCACCAGACTCATTTAAAAGCGTGCTTCGAAACGCGGGGAACCGATTTGGTAGTCGATCCAGCGAAAAATCTCGCCGCAAACGAACTCGTAGTCGCGCAAAACGAAACGTCTGATATGTTAAGATCCGAGATATACATTTCATGGCGCTACAGTCTTTTTGTGTTGTATACTTCATTTTTCTTTTTTTTTTTTTTTTCTGTTTTCTCTTTGTCAA